AAACTCTTCCAACAGCTGTTTATGAAGAGAGACAAGCCAACTTTGTATGTAAGTTATTTCATCCTTCACTTCTACAAGGCCTCTCATCCATAAAGAGCTGTGGCTCTTTAAACTGCAAGATTTAAATGCATGCACCAATTTGATCAGTACTTCTCATTACATGGCCTCCCATTGTCCAGTTGGCATTTTTATACACCCCATTCACTCTGAACTTTAAGCCTTTGTAGACTGTGGACCTACAGAAGCTAAATACACCCTTGGTGTCATTCCATGGGATGCACACTAAGACCATTTGGTCTATACTATCTACATTTCCCTGAACATGCACTTCTGATTGGCAGGCTTAAACATGCCAGCTCTCTGCTAGGATACATCCATAAAAGAGGAAATAAGTCACAATCCGAATCATGGGATATGAACTTGCACCACTGTAATCAATGGGTATTTTGGTTATGGATATCAAAGGAGGCAATATCGGGACCCTAACAAGTCACCTTCTGACCTCAACTATACTGTTCAGAGCACTGTAATGGCAAGGGAGCTGAACACTATACATTGGTTTCCCACCAACATTCATTCAGATTTTTAAAGGAAACTATGATCAGCCACATTTGCTGCCCTTTCTCACTCATGCTCCACAAAGATTTTGTGCCATCAAGTTTTGATCATGCCATGACCCATGGAAAGCCAGTGTCAAGTTTGTCCACACCAGTGTTAGGAGGAGGGACTTTTTCAAATTGACTGGCTGCAAGCATTTACATCAAGAGCTAAAGAAAAAGGATTGCATTCATTCAATCAGAGCATGGAAAAATGTCATGTGATTGATGTGACTGATGGCAGCTGAGCAACTCAGCTGGACTGCCAGGTCATTTTGAATGGCCACACTTGTAAAAAAAAAAAAAAAAAGTCATCTGTGAGAAACACAGAGGAGCAAGTTGTAATCATTGTGTGGAACGCAGGCAAAATGACAAAAAGAAATTAACTCCCAATGATCGGCTCAGACCTCCTGGCCATAGAGAAACTTTAACATGTTTAGTTTGAGGAGCGGGAAAAGATTCAGGCTAGTTCTGACCTTTTCCCTCAAACCAATTCACCCATCCCTAATTGCCACATATCTGGCATACTTGCATTTGACTCAGATGTTTCCTGTTACTTTTTACCTATCTTTGCAACAAGCATGACCCATTTCCTAACCAGATGCTCTGCCGTATTTCTCAGTTCAGTTTAACAGAAGGGATCTTACACAGTATTTTGTTGTCATCATCCTGCACAAAGTGCATTTGCATTTACGAAACAGGCTTGTTATTCAAGAAGCCTAGAAAACAGGTGGATGGTTTCATGGAAAAATCTGACTTTTCATCAGAAAAGCAAACACTTGAGGATTTTCATCCATCCAATAGTTTTCAAGGAAAACTGGCACTAGCCACAACATTTGTTGGTGAATTAAAAACCTGATGTTTCATTAAGGTTTTGACAGAAACTTTTTAGCCATTCCTTCTGAATATCTTTACTATAATACCTGCAACCCCTTGCGATACTCCTTGACTGTCACTAAGGCACATTTCTAAACAAACTGGTAAAATAAATAAGACTAGATTTAGATTTAATGGGGCACCATTCCCGGACTAGGTATTTTTTTTCTGGAAAGCATAAAATTGTTCTTATTTTTAAAAATTTTACTGTGGGCTTATTAACCACATATGGTAACCATGGCTCCTCAGTGATTACACATGATCTCCATTGCCTGGAAGCTACACACAAACACACACACTCATCTGTAACAACAACTTTGCCTCAATGACTCATATTGCTTTGTGTGTCCCAGTGGTACCTCTGGTTCAATTTAGTGTCTGTTGCAGATGGTATGTTGCAATAGAACCAATGACTGCACAAAACAATGCCTGCAGTAATAAGACTAATCTGCCCATTATGAAATGGGATACCAATCACTGGAGCGGTTGCTGTTTTTTTAGCCATTTGTACAGCTAATACTAACAGGCAATGGATGCTCTGCTATTCAATTCATCAAAGTCCCTGCCTTATCTAACAGGAAGAGAAGGGCTTTCGTTCCAAAACTGACCAAACAGGTTTCCAAGAACAGCAGCTGTGTATAAATCAGCTTAACTCAACACTGGTAGACCAGCAAATTACACAGAGTGAATGAGATGTTGACAGGATGCACAGTACAATTGCATCCTGGTACTGACCTCCAGCCACAGCCCGGCCACGTGCATGCAAATGGTTTTTCGCCTGTGTGCCTTCTCAGGTGGGCTTTCAAGTGGCTGCTTTTAGTGTACATCTTGGTGCAGCCTGGGAACGAGCATTTGTGCATTTTAATGAGTTCTGCTGCAGGGTTCTTTTGAAATTTCTGACCCACGAGGATGCCCGTCTGACCCTGGATCATGCCTCCTGGCCCAAGCGGCTTTGCCGCAATGGGCACTGGTGCTATGCGGACAAATTTGGAGGGCAAGTTCAAATTGGAGGATTGAACTATCTGTGGCACAAGTGCAAAGGTCTGTCCTTGAATGTTGACTAGGAGTTGTGCAATTTTAATATTCTCTTGTGCTGGTCCTTGTGAGCTTGGGCTTGTATTTGATTCTTGTTTGATCTGTACAGGCTGAATTTGAAGCATGACAGGTATTCCACCCTCCGCGGATGCCGCTCCATTTGAAACATGGCCACCTTCTGTTGGGCTGCTCAACTGTTCACTTTTACTTTCCTTTAAGCTAGCATTGGATACCATATGGTCTTTTTGCTGTACAGAAGCAACAGAAACTTGGCTGCAAGCTCTCAAGTCCTTGGTCTCATTTTTAGGCCCTTCCTTGAACTCCAACTCCATATTTTCCTCCAGAAACTCCTCAATCTCCTCAAGCGTGGGCTGAAATGGTCCAGTATCTTCCGTATCCACTGCGAATTCAGGCATCCTAAAATACTCCTCTTTCACAACTGGCTGAAGTCTCCTTTTGTCCCACCAAGAGGCAGGGGTGTTCCCCAGGGAAGCCTGGGACAATAAGTAGTCTAAAATACTATCCTGACTTTCAGCGCTGGATGTGCTGCCATAGCTAGAGCTGAGAACCTGGGAGTCAGGGCTAGAACAAGAGCAAAAGCTTGAAGAATCACTGTCATCTTCTGACAGAGGTGAGGGCAGCATCTGGTAGGACCTCCCTCCTGCCGTCATGTCCCCAAAGTATCCAACCATGGACCTTGTGGATGAAAAAGATTCATCAGCAGGAAGCAAGTGATCCACCATTCCTGGATAATCTCTTAGGGATCTTCCAACAGCATATACCACACAGGGGAAGTTCAAGTGAAAGCCTGCCTGCAGACAACAAAAACATTGACAGTCAGAAGTCAGCTTTACTCATTCATCACCATATATTAAACCTACTAAGTTCCCTGATTCAAATGAGAGTCCCAGGCATCCAGTTTCACTGAGTACACATGTTGCTACATGCTTTGATATTGCTGCATTACCCCTAAAGGATTTCGAGTGCCTAAGCATTTTCCAAGATTGCACCATACTTTTGCAAAAGAATTCTTTCCGAAATTGTTTCACAACCCCGTCGTCTTTAGATTTACAGCTCCTTTCCAGCATACTACTGGCAAGAGGAAATATGCTTATAGTCTTTCACTGAACAATGAAAACTACAGCCAAAGAAGGGAGTGAGGGGAAAAAAAAAGTGTTGGAATTTTTACCACCAAAAAACAAATAAAAATGAAGTTTATTACTCCTAGCCCATAAAACTACTGAGATCCTTGCCTTATCTTGTAGCTTTCCACTGACTTTATTTTTAACTTTCTCGGTTGTACAAATATAGGCTAATCAGCGTAATGCAAGGATCAATCTGCCAGGAGCCAAAAATATTTACTGTGCTTCAGCATTTACTGGGAGGATTTTCCCCTCCAAATGTCATGAATCAGTTTGTCAACGTTATCATCACCTGCGTTGCCCTTAATAAGGCTGGCATCACACTGAGCTAATTACCCTGGCCTGGCAAGCCAGCAGGTTACTGGTTTCACCCCATCACTCTGCATTGCTTATCACTTGGGTATGGACACAGCCCTGAGATGATCCAAATGTTATGCCAGCTTCTAAACTGGGAAGACCTGTATTGGGAACAAGCGCTCGCTTAGGATTTCAACTCCTTGTGACCTGCAGCCAGCAATTGTGTTGTGTTTGAATGTCTGACCCTGCAAGTCCTTACTGCTGTGAGTAGTCACCCTGAAATGGGATGAATAAGGAACAGTGACACTTTTATCTTGCAGTCACTCCTCCGGCAAAATTCCCACTGACGGCAATGCAAATCCTGCAGTTCTCAACTTGGGCATAGCAAACTCACTGGGAGGTTGAGGATTTTTTTTTTCCTTGAGCTAACAGCTGTATGAGGCAGCCTATAAAGAGCTGAAATGAAGGCAGGCAGACTTAGCCAAACACTGGCTCTCAGTCCTTTGCTCTGCTCAAGGTGACTGATTGAAAACAGAGCTGTATATGTACATAATAAAACAACCCTTTCTGTGGAAGGTATGCGGATTGCAGAGATAGAAGTCATTTGAACTGCCTATGAGGCTTTGTGTGTGTGTGTGTGTGTGTGTGTGTGTGTGTGAATTAGCAGGCATGTGACCTAGCGTGAAGGAAATGCCAGTCAGGCTTCTTGCACTCTGTCATTTTCCACGGGCTCGCTGCAGTGCTTCGGACATTTTTCCATGAATAGTCAATAGCGGCTAGTTTGGAGGAAGCTAGGAAATGGTTATCGTGATTATCCCCGATGATCTCTGCTGGCTGAGCTGCAAATTGCCTCTGTCTCTATCTTTGAGAAGGAAATAAAAAGGAAATCTAGGCACTCCATCTGTACCTGACACAGCAAGAGCTGTTTTACACAACAACCTTCACATGCTCCGTCAGCAGCAGTCTATTAGCATTCCACAGGAAGCCGAGTAAAAATACATTTCTTAAAGACACAGCTTCCTCACTGATGCGTGGAGGTCAGAAGGCAGGGGCAGTTCAAGAGAAAGAGACCAAAAAGCTCAATTGCATATTTCCTGGTTTGCAAGCCCCATCAGTCATCTGTTTCTCCGAACCGATAATGAAACACTCGCATGTGCTGATTATGAGGAAGTTCAGAGAGAGGTGAGTGCCCAAGTTCTGCGACCTTAGTCTATAATCATCCCTGACACGAAAAGTCACTGTCAGCATACCTGCAATACGGCTAAGAGAGTGCAAGCGAAATCCTGACTTTGAGGCAAGTCCACTGTTACCCCAGCAGAAGTCCTGGAGCCAAGCCACCCCGCGTTTCGACCAGCGAAGCAGAGACTGAACCTGACTTCCACTGGCTCCCAGTGAAGTCACACAGCATCTTGTTTATGTCTTGCTTGCACCAAAGGCAGCAACAGCTACAATTTAAAGTTGGGCAGAAAGGAGGAATTAGTCCCCTGTGGCATTTTGCTCCAGCTACCACCTCCAAGTGGCCTTGTAATGACCACCCGTTTTGCACACAAAGCATTTTTGCTAAGAGAGTCAGGGAGCATGTGTGCGCGCGTGTGTGCGTGTGCATGCATGCATGCACGCACCCATGTATGTGTGTGCGTGATGACATGAGGCATTTCTGCAAAGAGAGTTGGTCTGTAAGCGAAAGACAGAGAAATGGAAAGGGCAAACAGCACAGAAACAGAAAGTCCTTTGTGAAATGTTTTAAATGTCCGTTCAATCTGGAAGCCATTCTTATTCCCGCAGAAGTAAATGGCAAAATTACCCTTGAATTTATTGGAAATAGACCTGAGCCCTCAGACAGGACAGAACAGGGGAGAAAAGGTAAAACAAGAAGGAGTAAACAAGGCTTTTTAGTCCCAGACCAGCTACTCCTCTTGTTTTTCCAATCCTGCTGGACATTAATCAGTGCCCACTTAGCATAAACATGTGACCACTTAGGCACCAAGTGAACCTTGCTTGTTGAGCTCTTTAAATTCTGGCCTTGATCTTGCTTTCCTTACACTCCCACTGAAGTCAAGGGATTTCTAGGTATGCGAGGAATGCAGGATCAGGCCTTGATTCTGTTATAGTGGAGGCCACTGCAATGACCAAAAGCCTCCCCCGCATTTGGGCTGGAGGTACAGCCCAAGACACAGGAATTAACTGGACTAATAAAAAATAATATTTCTGTTCATACAAAGCATTTCCAAAAGGGGCCGGAAGATGTGACCAGGGCTAGCACTGGGATGCAGCCGTCTCTGGGGCGAAACAAAGCAACTGGTTTAACAGTGCCGGGCTCCAACTCTCAGAAGAGCCCGCCGCGCTGTTTTCTCCCCGCCACATTGTTCTGCTTAGCAGCTGCCTGTCCGGCCGCGAGCTAATAAAAGGCTGGAATGCACATATGCCTCCAAACGCCTGCATTTCCGAGTTGCATTTCAAAGGCTTCAAAACCCCCAAGGAGCCTGCTGAAAAGCCATGCCAACATCTGGCAGCTTGGCCTCCTCCTGGGACCGACCACACCACCCCGGGGACCGCGGACCACCTCAGTCCGGGGGCATTTCGCCCGTTTGGTCTGGGCTGGCAACTCTTTTCTACTTGGTTTTTCCAGATAGAAGCGCGCGGCAAAGCCCAGCCTCCTGGTCTCCTGCCTCCGGGGCCGGGACGGCTCCTCGGGGCCCTGAAGGGCTGCAGAGCCGCTCCGTGGTCTTCCGAGCGCCGGAGCCAGCTGGCCGGACCTGCGGCGGGGCCGGGGCCGGGGCCGGGGCCGCGGCGCGGAGCGGGCAGGGATGCAGCACGCGG